CATTAAAACAAGTTGAAGCAGAGTTCAGAACTCATTCTAAGGGTAGTAAAATAGTTGTTGCAGACAGAATTCAAAAATTAAGAGTTGGGAAATTTCAAAAGTGACATATCCGCTTCTGTACTGTTCGATTAAGACCAGAATCAGATAAGACGGAATCTGTTCAGAACTCTCCAATCAAGAGCTAAAATAGATTACTTACCCAGAATAGAAACAAGAAATTCCAGTTTATCTTTCCCAGCATCATTCTGTACCTGACAACTATAATCTCCGAAATCTAACAACTGGGCACTGATAATAATCAACACACGTCCATTTTCAATAATACGAACATTAGGTAGACCATATAGTGGTATCTGTTTCCCTTGACGATACCAGCGTATCACTGGCGTAGGAATACCAACTGCTGGACATTCTAATCTCACTGATTGGTCCATTATTACTGGAACTACTTGTAATTCATCAGACCCGTTTATTTTAGGTGGGACTGTAAAATATATTTGATACATTTACTCAGCAATAGCCATCTTGATTTGAAGAGATCGCAAGTGACCCAAAAATAATGCTCTGCAAGTTGTGATATTCTACAGTAGAATTTCTACCTCAATGGTATTACTGTCATGCTGCGTTCACCGTCAATAAACTGGAAACCCCAATACCAAACCTTTATGATCTACCTTGGCTTTGTGATATTACAATCTTGAATATTGAAAATAATTTGTGAAAGTAGACAAAGACCCTATGGAATACTGGCCAAAAACCTGTTGGAAGGCCGATTTGACCGAAATTTTCCCACAATTTTTACCTGTATTTTTCTTTGTTTTCAGGTTGTTGCAGGATATTTTTTCGTACGCTGTCCCCATCACCTACGCCTTTGCAAAGACCAATAAAGTAAATAAATCTAAATATATTTACCCAAAACTTCTAGGTTATAAAATTTCTCGGCCACACCAGCCTTGTTTTTAACTTGACAGATATATCGTGCTGTATCATCCGTGGAGGCGTCCAGAACTTTTAAAATCTTTCCGTCCAATAAAATACGTAGATTGTCCATGTTTTCATCCTGGGGGTCAATGATATCGTTATTTTTGGACCAGATTATTTCAGGTGGGGGTATACCAGTTACATTACAATATAGAGTAATGGATTCTTCTTCTTTTACTGCCACTTCCGAAACCCCGACAGGACCTTCTATAGATGGTGGAACTAGAAATACAAAATAAATTGTTTATTTGAACTTGTTCGTCCAAGAAGTTAATGGGTGGGGCCATATTTCCAAATATTTTTTCAGTGCTTTAAATTCTAATGCACAGTTTCAAGCTATTTTACGATAAATTTTTATTTAAGGTAACCTTACCTTGAACATCCACCTTAATATCAACTTTATCACGACCTGCTCCGTTACTCGCTTTACATGTATATATCCCAGAATCCTCTACTTGGGCGTTACTTATCTCTAGTCTCTGATCGTTATCCATTAATCGTAGGTTCTCAAAAGGAGAATCGATCAAGGCTACAGTATTACGTAACCAGAGTATAGATGGTGGTGGAATGCCAGAGACTGGACAATCAAGATACAATGTTTTATTTTGTATCACTGACTCATTCGTCTTGATTTTACTTCGATCAATTTCTGGGGGAACTGAAATTCAGAAAAAAATCAAAACTTTATTTTACTCAGCAAGCTTCTGATAACTTTTATAATTCAAATATATATCAACAGTAAGATACGCCTATCAAATATAGGTAAGGAAACAGAAAGAAGACTCACCCAAGACCTCAAGTTGAAAGTTTCTCCTGAGTTCTCCTGCCTCGTTAGTCGCAATACAGGAATACCTGGCCGTATCAACTACCTGAGCTCGCGATATCTCTAACTGTAGATCATTTTTCACCACCTTAACACGGTCTGTATTCTGAACAGGAGCCCCGTTAAATAACCACTGTACCTCTGGGACAGGATTACCACTAACAGGACATTCTAGTATCACATGACGATCTTTTATTACTTTAGGATTGTACACCACATTAGATTCATCGATTGTTGGAGGAACTGAAAGCAAGAAAATTAAATGAAAGTTTACTTTTTCCATATTGGCGCCTCTGACCTGCATCACTGACAGGGACAAACTGGGTTTAGCAAATTATCTGGACGCTATATTTCCTTTAATGACCATATCAACCTTTATACTTTTAGAATGAGATCTTTTAGAAACTGGAGGTACTTCAAAATAATATACCAGTAACACCATAGAAAAAATACCATTGGCAATTCTTCTAGGCTAAGTTTTGGGTTTGAAGGTGACTATGTCCCTGAGTAGCAAGCAAAAATGAACCTTGGGTAGAGCCATACCTAAAACAACCAGTTCAAATTCCTGTCGATCAGAACCAGCAGGATTAGTAGCTATACACTGATATACTGCAGAATCCTCTTCTGTTGTGTCCTAAAATATTAAAGGAACAACAAGGCGTTTGTTGTAAAAGAATTATTATATAAATCATGGGGTCCAGAGAGACCTTAACTTGAAACCCTAATATAACAGATTATGTACTAGGAAAATCAAATATTAGTATAATAGAAGCCTATGGACATCGAATGTTTACTAAGTCTTACAAAGTTTTGACATCCATTGGTAGTGGTTGTGTAAAAAGGCTGTCTGTTGTTAATTTTATCTTATGTTATATCAGCAATACCAGATAACACAAATTACATTGTAGACTAAAAATATCAGAAAACAGAAAAGAATCGTAATCTAATATTAATAAGATTGTCAAATGATCCTTTCTCCAGAATATTTATATTTTATTGTCCTACCTGAATACGAAGTTGTAAACCACCAGATAAAACATTAAATCTAATACCATTTTTAATAGTTAGTCCGTTACTAATCCAGGTTATATTAGGGAAGGGAATTCCTGATACTGGACAACTTATAGTAGCAGTATGACCTTTAATAACACGAGGTGAATTATCTATCGCTGAACTGTCTATTGATGGTGGTACTAGAATATAAAGAAGAGACAGGATTAAATAAATGATGACGTAATTAGAAATAAATTTTACAGTAATGGCAGACTACACCAGTGGCTGAGACTGGGGGCACATATAGGTGCAGACTGACATAATGGAGGGACAACTCTCTATCTTGAGATTCAAAATGCAGCAAAAGTTTACAGAATTTGATCCACTTGCAAAATGCTATTGGACTATCTGAGAACTTTGGAGAAAAATATTGAAAAACTGATAAAATCAATTGATATGGACAATATGATACTTTTAAAAATTTTCACAATAGATTTCAAATATTAATAAAATAAATAAAATTACAAACCCCAGACGTCCAGATCATAATTTTTCTCATTAGTCCCTGCCTCGTTAGACGCAACACAAGTATAGGTTCCTGCATCACTAACTTGCGCTTCATTAAACACCAGTCGTCTCCCCTTATCTTGTATCATAACATGGGGGTTGTCTTCTAAATCTAGTTCTTGACCGTTCTGTAGCCAGACTATCTCTGGTAGAGGGTGACCCAACGCAGGACAGTCCAATGTTACTGAGTCATTTTCTACAGCCTTGGGGTTCAGGATAATTCCAAAATCTGGAATACTTGGTGGCACTGAAATATATATAAAACATTTTTCTGACAAGCTTCATTTAAGATTCGAAAATTGTTGTTACGAAAACGATTAGCAAAACAATAGAAAATATTTCAAAGTTTAAGTCTACGAATTACTAAATGGACTCATTTCATGCCTTCATTTTGTCAGCTTGTAGACTTGGACTTATAGATGAGTTGGAAAGATACATGGCAGTTTTCTCCGGGTGATTTCAAATCCCCTCTGCCTATAAACATGATCAACTGACCTTGAACATCCAGTTCAAAATTCTCATCAATTTCTCCAGCCTCATTTCTGGCCACGCAGGTATATCTTCCCGTGTCTTCTAAACTCGCGCTCTGAACCACCAGCTGGGTACCTTGACTGACCACAGATAGATGACGATTTCCGATTATATCAATTGGTTGAGAGTCTTTATACCATGTGATCTGAGGAGGCGGGGTCCCGGAGGCTGGGCAGTCGATTGTTATAGAACTATTTACGATGACTTTTGGATTATGGTTAATGCCCTGATTATCAATTTTTGGTGGTACTGAAAAGAAGAAACCATTTTTTTTTATTTAACTAATGACATTATGTTCAAAGAGCAAAATGAAATGGTTTACGCTTAATTAAAATTAGTTACGAAAAAGACTCAAAACTGGAAGAGATCTAGACTCTGAATAATGAAAATAAATGAATTCATTATGGCAATCAATTCTTTTTTTGCTCTCACACCAATTTTTACAATTTATCAACAGAAAAACAGCGTAAAACAATGAATATTTACCCCAAACAGTGAGATTAAAGTCTGTTGAATCTTCTCCAGCTCTGTTCCGTGATGAACACGTATAGCGTCCACGATCTTTCACCTTAGCCGAGTGTATCCGGAGTTGTCTACCATCAGCTAAAATCTCAAACCTACGATTTATATTACTATCTAATAACACACCGTTACGATACCATAATATCTCTGGTGTAGGAATACCACTTACAGGACAATTTACCACTGCTGTTGTATTGACGATTACGTTGGGGTTGGAGTTGATGGTTTCTTTATTAATCTTGGGTGGAACTAGAAAATAATTTTATAAACTATTCAACTGAATGTAGCACATTTTCAGAACAAAAAGACTTTTCAAATTCTTTGAGCATCAAATTTATTACATTATAGTTAGATCCCTTGTCTGAATTCTGATATGGACTTAAGAAAAACCTACTAGTTTATAAATGCCTTAGAGTAAAATACAATCTGATCACAGCATCTTTATTATTAATATATACCATTTCCCTTCTCACAGTAAAGCAAGCCTTTTCAAAACAATGTGTAGCTTTCATTTTTCATTTAATTGTCAATTATAGAGAGAGGTAATATAGGTGAAGCCTGTTCTCAAATCCTTTTCATAATATATATCTTTACCATTGTGAATAAAATATTGTTTACAAAAAAAAATTTCAATTAAAAATTATTTCAAAAATGACCTACCTAAGACATCTACATCAAAAACTTTTTCATTTTCCCCGGCGATATTATCAGCACGACAGATATATCTATTAGTGTCAGAAACATCAGCGTTAGCGATTGTTAACGTCCAACCATCGTTCAATAATATATATTTACTGGTATTAGATTTGATTGGTCGATTGTCTATAAACCATGTGATATTAGGTAGGGGTATACCAGATGCAGGGCATGTCAGTTTTATAGTTTGATTGGTTATAACTTCTGTTTTATCTATTACTCCTGGGTTGTCAACCCGTGGTGGTACTGAAAAACAAACAACACAGACATGCTCACTAACTATTCGGGGTAATTCATTGTCTAAAACTATAGGCAGCATTGATTGAATAAACATAAAACAGGAGAAGAAATGGCTGATCAAAAACTGAAACCACAAATTAACGGTAATTTAATTAAAAATGAGAATAACCTATTTATAAAATATAATCTTTGTAAGACATATAGAAGCAGGTAAACATTAAGAACACAAGTTACATGGATATACTATTTCTAGTTATCATTTTACTTGATAACGTTACCTGTATGTGTTTCTAAACTTAGTATATAATAAAACTAGAAGTAGTATATCTATATATCTTGTGTTTTTAATGTAACCTGTATGTGTTTCTAAACGTAGTATGTAATAAACCTAGAAGTAGTATATCTATATATCTTGTGTTTTTAATGTTACCTGTATGTGTTTCTAAACGTAGTATGTAATAAAACTAGAAGTAGTATATCTATATATCTTGTGTTTTTAATATTACCTGTATGTGTTTCTAAACGTAGTATGTAATAAAACTAGAAGTAGTATATCTATATATCTTGTGTTTTTAATGTAACCTGTATGTGTTTCTAAACGTAGTATGTAATAAACCTAGAAGTAGTATATCTATATATCTTGTGTTTTTAATGTTACCTGTATGTGTTTGGAAATGTAGTATGTAATAAAACTAGAAGTAGTATATCTATATATCTTGTGTTTTTAATGTTACCTGTATGTGTTTCTAAACGTAGTATGTAATAAACCTAGAAGTAGTATATCTATATAACTTGTGTTTTTAATGTAACCTGTATGTGTTTCTAAACGTAGTATGTAATAAAACTAGAAGTAGTATATCTATATATCTTGTGTTTTTAATGTTACCTGTATGTGTTTGGAAATGTAGTATGTAATAAAACTAGAAGTAGTATATCTATATAACTTGTGTTTTTAATGTTACCTGTATGTGTTTCTAAACGTAGTATGTAATAAACCTAGAAGTAGTATATCTATATATCTTGTGTTTTAATATTACCTGTATGTGTTTGGAAATGTAGTATGTAATAAAACTAGAAGTAGTATATCTATATATCTTGTGTTCTTAATATTCATTAAATCAATTCTAAAAATTATGTAAAACACCAAAAATAATAAGTAAATAATATACTTCCTGGCTTGGTCCTTCATGATTCAGATAGGTATATGTCAGCTTTCACCTTGTGATATTGGCTGGCAAAAATATTGTTTTAAGAAGAAAATCAAACTTACCATAAACGTCTACAGTATAATTCTTTAATGTTTCACCAGCCACGTTTTCACCTACACACTGATAGCGCCCCCTATCTGTCACTTTAGCACTAACAATCTCAAGACGACGACCATTGGCATGGATTCGTAGATTGGGATCTAATTCAGGGGAGACCACTTGATCATCTTTATACCATGTGACCTGAGGAGGCGGAGTTCCAGAGACTGGACAGTTGATGTACAGTGGTTGACCAATCACAACAGACATATTGTCAGGTGACGCATTTGTTGAATCAATCTTTGGTGGACTAAAATCAAC